ATGACGCCTGTTACGCTGAGGAGATATTTTCTTCGAAAAGCGGTGGAGATGTCCAAATGAATTAACGATAAAGTTCATGGTGGATCTGAACAGCCCGTTTTTACGATTCTATCATCTTAGATTGGAAATTTTCTAACTATATTAATACAATATATTACGAATCTAGAGGCATTGTGAAAGGGATTCGTGTCATTCTAAAGAGAGCAATTAAGCGGGATCTAGTTTTACTGAAGGCGCGGAGTTCTACCATCCGTGATAACTAGTGAGGTGCTTAGTCTCGTATTAATCCCGCCTCCTCCGCCCGAGATATCGGAATGTGATAAGTACAGAACCTCTACCTGACCACTCTGCATATCACGGCTTCTAGCTTATCTTATGTTTATGGGTGTCGTGTAATAAACTGACTGACGATTAGTTAAGCAGCAATGATGTCCAGCTTGTCCATAAACTACTCTAATGGAATACCAGGCAGGGCAACCAACCCCTCCGGCCCGCTCTCCCTATCAAATGGCTGAATGTCAAACAAAGCGCCGAGTCTTCGTGTCGAGTGTATTATCATCTTGCAGCGTATGACTGCTTTTTACCATAGAATGTAGTATTTATTCAGGTATGTGTAAATTGAAAAATACCTGAACTATAATTTAAGGTTCAAGATTCCGGAATTGAAAAAATTGTTTACCGGTGCTAAAAACTAACTCTTGAGGAATCTTAAGAAGGTGCGTAAAAAGGCGACAAATCTCGCAAGTGCTCACTCAACGATGTGGGCGATCATGTTTTGTTTTGGCGCGGAAGAGACGCCTCGCGGTGTTGCCAGTGGGCGGTCGCTCATTACATGGCAGGGGTCACAGCATTGCCCACCAGGCGGCGCTGGCTTCACGCTGCGAGTGGCGATTGTGGCGACTTAAAAATTAGGATGAGGCTGTGTATTGTCGCAGCAGTGAATTTCAGAACAACGCGTTAATAGAGATCATCGTTGGAGAGTCGAGGCTCGATAGTTTATAAAGACGGAAGTGCCTATGAGACATCATGGCCAAATAAATTATTTTGTGGCAAGGTAACAACAACTTCACAACAGTGTTCAAAACTTATATGAAATATTAAATGCAGTGACTTGTTAAGAGATAGAAGATAGCAATTTAGGTATGCATACAGATCTTAATAATATCATGCAACTAAGCTGAATTGGGACAAATTTATGGCTCGATTTTTATAACCTATTCCTGTCCATTTTGCACTTTTGTATGGATCTAAATCTTCTAAACTAATCGTCAATCAAAAATTCATTCATTAATCATTTAGTTATTGAGTTATCTCGTCAAGTGTATAATAAAGTAAATCGAACAGGCGCCATGACTTAGGTAGTTGAACTTGCGGCCATTCAACTCGATTGTGAGAAAATTAGTATTTCATGCCAATCAAGGACAGTTTCTACACATGAAACTTCGAAATAATTGTATGATATTTAATTGGTCCTTCAAATTTTAATCATTCAATCTGTTTGGCATTGATTGTCATGTGTAATATAATAAGATTTCGTCCGTCTAATTCTCCTTCGCGGGTGTTGAATACTGGACGACAGAACTTCAGAAGCGCGGCAGTCAGTCACCTGCGGAGCGTTGGCAGTGTCATTGTTCTCATCCCTCGTCCAAGAATCCCAAACTTGGACGACTTGTAAAAACCTCTGCCATAAAACTAATAATTTAAATGCTAATCGCTGACTGATCTTTTTCCAGCACAATTTTAATTGCATCCTACGAGTTGACGGACAAGAAACTTCAAGGAAAACGAAGTGTCTTAAGTAGAAAACTTTCATAAAAACTTCACAGGAGAAGATGCAGGGCAAGATTGTTATGCAGATTAAGATACGATGGGTCGTCAACTTCCTCTCACTCGGCCATTGCTGCGATGAGCCTCTGATCATCAAACATCAATGGCTGCCATTGAAGTGTGTTAATGAATAAGAGGCCGAATTTTAAAACGCTTATACTTTTATTCCCTGCTCTTAAACTCGTAATATCGACTTAAATACAAAACTATTTCTGCTTTGTATTGTACATGCATAAAGTTCCGTGACATGTTGGGTTGAGATTTAATCATTTATGAGAAAAAAAATGTGATGGAACAAAGTAAGTTTTATATCACTTTTTTCAAACATATAATAATGTTGGCTTATACCATTCAAGAAATATTTCACACTATTTGCAAATCTGTCATTAATCGGTATATTGACCACTAATTCACAATTACCTTCAACTTTACGAGTGTGGTCAATTTAAAAATCTTGCTTTGCTCCAGTATGAAAAATAAATGAATCAGAGCTTTAAAATTATGAACATTTATAAAGCGTAAATAATTCGTTTACTAGATTAAGCTGCGATTGATCGCTCTGTCCATTGACGGCTAGAACTGGAATGAATTTTGTCCCGTTATTGATAGATATGTATATATAAATGCAGTGAGTGTGTATCCTCCGTTATAGCGTTTCAATTGTTCGGTAACTGAATTAACTTTCAAATAACCTCAGTCGATCTCTAAAATATGACGTAAACGAAATCATTGTCTCCGATGCTATATTAAATGCCTGCATGTCTTCATATATATGAAGTTTGTATAAATTTTGTCACCATTACCAAGTAATTTGTAATGTAAGTTGGAAATCATTATCATTTAATGTTACGCAAATTCGCTGGCATTTTAAACATTCGAAGTTCGCGTTGTTGCGAGCCGTTGCAACATAATTCAATTAATTTACGAGAGGGGATTGATAAAAATAAATTCGGAAAATAAATAGGTATAGGTAAAATTATAAGTGATGAACCTATATTTAGTGAAACCCTGAATAATAGTCTATCGCCTATAACTATATGTCTATCTATCAGAGATCACGCCCATTTTGAAAGTGTACAGGAACGTGTACCGTTTAGCATAGTATAGTATAGCATCTTAGACGTTGAAGAATAGGCCTGTCGCCGATTTTTATAATTTTCTCGACTTGTTCATAGGACTGGCCTTCTGATCAAATCTTTTCAACGGGCTGTAGGTTTGAAATCGTTTTCTAGATTTCCAGTTGTTGCGTAGGGTAATAGGCATTTCAAGACTAAAAAAAGCGTCACAACTGAAGCTTGCCAATGGATGAAAACAACAATTCTTGGTGTTACCTATAACAAACTGGAATTTAAGTGAGACATTCATTTTCTGCGCAAAAAAAAAAATAATGTAAAAGCAAAGACTGTTTTAAAATATAGGGATTTTCACAACTAAAAATCCTAATGAGACCAATATTGATGACCACACTATTAATTTTTGGCCAGTCAAAGTTTGATCGGCAATTGAGAATTTCTACACAATTTGAAAGTGAACGTATTTAAAGCTTGGCGTCTGAAAAATTTAGGTTATCATTTTAAAGATAAAGATTTCAAATGGGGACGTATTCCTCTTAGCACAATTGACACGCCATTAAATGCACTGTTCTATACGATGAACGCTCCTAATTTTATCAATTTCATTGCATGCGATGTAAATTTTGATGCTTCCGAAGCATCGCGGTCAGCCAGCAGAAAATTTTTCGCGAGTCAAACTGCTGAAATTCGATCGCAAGACTGTCATTCGAATTGATCGTTTCACACGATCTCTTGCAGTTTTATGCATCAAAAGTCTCGCATTGAATAGGACTCGATTCCTTTTTTTTATTCAAAGGTAGTATTCTATGTTAAGTCACTCCACACCTCAGACCGTATCAAAGTCAAACTATGATTATATAGTCTAAAAATTATAAATGAGACAATTTTCACTCTTAAATGATGACATAAAAACCCATTATCCTACACAGCCCTGAACACCAAGAAGCTTTAAAACGTCAAAAGGCTGGTTTTATAACTCAGCCTTCCACATTGAAGAGTCGTCATGTGTAAGGTGAGTGCAGCTCCTTGGCAGCACCTCTGCATGCAGTAGTCCTCGTGTCAATGCAGTCTCAGGAGGACTCCTTAAAACGCCTATAATGACGCTGAGCGCTGCCGTCTGAAATATGCACCAAACGTCATTCTTCATTGAAGGCGCCAGGGGCGACCGCCTAGCGTTATTATGGCGCTGACAGCCTCGGCCTGGCAGCTTAATGAACGCCTCTATAGCCTCCCTATAGGCCGGGGCTGCAGCTATGAATAAAACGTCAGCTCCAGATCCAATTGTTTTTCACCAAGACGATCGATGCTTATTAATATTCCCGATTCGCTTTCAGCTTATTCAATTGGCTTCTAAAATGTTTTCATCGTGATACGTAATGGAGTGGTACGTAAGAAATATACNAGGTCGAAAGGAGAAATACTAACGATCGAATTCATATTCTCACTTTTCCAATGGCGGCCAGACCATTGGAGAATCAAAATATAATTGGCATTCGTCAACAAAATTAAACACAACACACTGCCTAAATCTTCACGGATTAACCAATAAGCAGTAAGTTGAATATTCATTGAAATATGCTTCTAATGCACAAATAATTAAGATTTTTAAAATAAATTCTATCGCTGCAACGAACCTCACACTAGTACCCGCGTACAGGTATGGTCACGCAAGCGTTTGTTTAGAATGTGCATCCACTAAACTGCTGTCTATTCGTGTGTAATTATTAGTATTAGTAATTAATATATTAGTATTAGAAGTAATTATTAAGTAATTAGCACTGCATAATTAACAGTTCTCATCTAATTAAGTTCATCTTGGTTTTTCCTATTCTATTAGATTTCCGCTCGAAGAAATACAAGGGTACGAAATACCGAACTCGACGGGAATATCACTGGTAATTTCCTAATATTAAAATTTTATCTCTTCCCAGATGCGTTTACACCATAGAAAAATACAATTTGCGCATGAAGATTTTCAAAACATTTTATTGCAATCACTGAAAGGATTCTAGTGAAAAGGTACAAATTTGGAGAGCAATGCCACGGTTACCAAATTTCTGGTCGGGAGAGCGCGTAAGGAGGTCAATTTTACACACGAGATGAAGATAATTTTATTGGAAAAGTACAGTAGATCAGCGAACGTTTTTACAAAGTTTGTTTGGTTGTGCAAACTAGAGGCAATCGAAGATATTCAGCAACGAGACGAGTCAGACGAGAGCATGGCAGGAAGTGCAAGAAACCCTAACGGTTCGAAGGCCCGCTCCGGAAGAAATACAAATCAATTTAATTAATAGGAGACGAGATAAATAGGAAAGAAATAGAAAATACTTCGAAGTCGAGTCAACTAATAACACGGAAGAGTAGGAACGTGCATATAACTCGAACAGTACAAGATACGAGCACACATAAATGAAAAGTGATGTGGTTCAGACGACATCGATGACAAACTGGATTTTACGAACAGCCATGGGAAAATGCATTGAAGCATTCAACATTTAGACCCTATCTCTACCAACTATGACTATACATTTTCTGTTTTGTATACAATTAAAGGGAACATAGACTAAGAATCTACACACCAGCCAAGCTGGCACTGGGATTAGAACACAGGATATAAACTGGAGTAAAGTTTACGTGGCATGATGGTGGCTCGATGACGTCATGATGGCAGCAGATAACAGACGGTTGGGTGCTGTACCTTACGATTCTCGAGCAATTATATGCTCCAGATTATTCAAGAGATGGGATATGTAACCCACGAGAAATTCAATCATTTTTCGGAAATTCATACAAATATAAATATAATAATTTTCTTGCTGTTAGAACCAACAAAATAATTCAATAATGAGACATATTTACAAATGACATTACTTCGAAATTACAAAAGGTGCATTTTCAAATCGCAATTGATCCTTTAAAATACATGGACACAGTGGTCGCAATAAGTGTATAATCCAAAAATTGTCATGCAAACGTAACTTTATGAAAATACTATAATGCAAGATCATTCATTCAAGTGTATTCCGTAGTGAGATTGTGCTGCTAGCGGAAGTGATGGAAAGAGAGTTCATTATCGATGTCTAGGCCATCACGTATTTCCGAATTCTCATCATTATTTAAAAAAAGATTAAAACAGTCAACAGGTCAAATTTAAAAAAACTACAATGGATGACACGCACGTTTCTAGCAGTTCCCGCAGCGGATAGCCAGTATGAACAATTTGTCGGAATTCAACATCGAGTACTAGTAGTTAACACAAGTAGCCCACTAGTCAGCTCCGGAGTGAAGGAGTGTACCTACCTCGAGCATCGCAAAAGTTTCAATAGGTAGAAATCCATGATCACCTACTAACTTATTGAGAAGAATTTGAAGACCGAGTGTAGCAAAAAAAATATAACAGTTCGATAAACAAGTTGAAATGCATCCCCAAGTGCAGTTGTCTAAACGTTGAATACGGAAAATCAAGCGCTGAGTCTGAATCAGACCAAGATGGCACGACTGCGCGGGATTTAAACAACAATCGCAAGAAAGTCCGAATGGATTAGACGATAGCATGACCATAACAGAAGAAGCGTGGTAGAGCGATACTCCATAAAAGCCTTAGATTAACAAAGAACACCAATCTGAAGCTGACACAGCTACTGGAGACACAGCATTGTACTGCCAGACACTTGAGAATCAATGCTATCTAGACTAAGAACATCGAAACATGACACACACATCCTTTCAAGAATGGGATAGTAGATATAAGTTTGAATTTAAGGAGAAAGAGCTTCCAAAAACACCTCGGCTAACCGGAAATGGCAAGGATCGGCAAGACATCAGGAAGCAGAGGAAAATATTGGCTAGAACAGGAAAAGGATGATAGTAGCGGTCTCCTGAGAACGTCTTACAAACTATGACCTTAACGCTTACTGCAAGTGTTTTCCAAGGAAATGAGCATTTACTAAAGAAGACAACTGCACGACAGAGCGAGTCGGTAATAAGATAATATCGCGTACATCCCAAAAAAATTTTGAAAACAGTTAGTTTGGCATTCTTCGATGCTACATTGTTTTTCCCATCCCCCTTGCAGATGCAGCTGATGTTCTTGACGTGAATTTCAGGAGTTTAGCTCTCGAGTGTTTCCTATCGCACACACAGCATTTCGATTTTCCAGACCATACCAAGCTAGTATTTATTACCTTCCATTATTAGAAATGACGCTCTTGCAAATTCCAGGCTCTTGCTACATGATTGCTGATTGATAACTTTCAACCGTGAGGCACGGCATCTAGCGAACCCGTATGCCAGTCTGATCCTCAGCGATACATTAAGCATTTAAAATTCAATGAAAACTACGCGTAAAAACGCATCTAGACGCCACGTGAGCATCATCAGCAGAAGGAAGTCTACAGGGAAGCTGAATTAATATCTCTAATTTTACGAGTCACGAGCAGGCAAGAACACAGATCTGGATCAGTAGTAAATATATTACCAATCTCTAATAATATACAACTGCGTTGAAATACATGAGCAGGAAGGTAGTAATTTTCATTTGACAAAGGATTTAGTGAATTATAAAAAAAAACACTCCGATGAAGAGCGGAGGTTGATGAATTTGACTTGAACAAATGCTAATACTTTTCATATTTATACAGAGACTCGAGCCAGAATTCGAAAAAAACGTCGCACAAGGAAGGTTCCTGATGTGCGAAGAAAGTGAGCTGTACTGTAATCTACCTACAGCCCACGACAAGAGATAAATGTTATTGACCTTCAAGATAGATTTTATTTATTTTTACCTCATTAACCAAAACTTTAGACTCTGTTAGATACGCAATATCCGGGTTTTGAACGGCAAACGATCGTTCGACCATGAGAAAGCATTTGAATTTAAGGGCTAAGGAATTTAAGGGTTACCAATAAAGGAACTCGAAGAAAGTTATAGAACAAATCTCAATAGAGATCACGCAAATAAATGAAGAGGAATCCCAGGACTATTCCTCAGTTGGACTGGCCCAGGATATAATGGATCGACCTGGAGGCTCAATCTAGCACTAAGATTTAAACTGCATTTAACCCGCTTCCAATGAAAGCATTGTTGTAGATAACTCTAGATAAAAGCTCAACACTACAGCTGTTAAAGGAGACTCGATTGTTGAATATTTGCGCGCCCTTGTACGTCTGTTGTTAAAACATGGAATAATGTGCTAATATAACACAAGTCTTTTAAAGGACACATTGTCAGATATAAAATCAAACCTTAACTTAAACGTAAAAAATAAATCATAACAAAACACTGGGAATTTTGTGACAAGAACGCATGACATAGCACCGAGACGATGAGTGACACTATCAATATAGAGAAAAGAGGCTGTAAGCAAATAACGAAGAGTGTGCCAAGTGAACTCATTTTCCATGCGCTCATTGTCATCATCAGACTTCATAAGCTCAACGAAATATAATCAAACAGCATCAGCGGGGAATCAGCATGCAGAATTTGCGCATGAACCAGTCAAGATAGGACACATAGATTTGGACTGGGGAAAACAAATTCATTGTGATAAATGACAAGAAGTAAAAGAGAGAGAAAGGCTACATAGATTTGAACTGGGGAAAATATAAATTCATTGTCGTACAAGACAAGAAGTAAAAGAAAGAGATAGGCTACTTAGATTTGGGCTGGGAAAATATAAATTCATTGTCATATAAGACAAGTAAAAGAGAGACTACATAGATTTGGACTGGAGAAAATATAAATTCATTGTCATATAAGACAAGAAGAAAAAGAGAGAGAGAGGCTACGTAGATTTGGACTGGGGAAAATATAAATTCATTGTAGTACAAGACAAGAAGTGAAAGAGAGAGAGGCTACGTAGATTTGGACTGGGGAAAATATAAATTCATTGTAGTACAAGACAAGAAGTGAAAGAGAGAGAGGCTACGTAGATTTGAACTGTGGAAAATATAAATTCTTTGTCGTACAAGACAAGAAGTAAGAGAGAGAGGCTACATAGATTTGAACCGGGGAAAATATAAATTCATTGTCGTACAAGACAAGAAGTAAATGAGAGAGAGGCTACGTAGATTTGGACTAGGGAAAAAATAAATTCATCGTCATATAAGAAAAGAAGTAAAAGAGAGAGCAGAGAAAAGAATGTCAAATTTTCAATTGATCGATTAGGTCAAAGATCGATAAATTGATCAAAGTCACATTTTCAATCGACTTTGATTAGGTAGGTATGATTAAAAGATGAAAGGAAGAGGTTGAATAATAATTGATGTCCTTCCACAAAAGTATAGCAGGCTACTTTGGGAAGTTAATTTATAAAACTTTAATACTGTTAGTAATTCAGTAATTCATATATTTGTTCTGTTGTAGAACGTAAAACAAAGTAAATTAAGACAATGAATTTCAGTCAGTGAGAACAGCTCAGTTCTATCGCATCTAAGAAAAGCACTAGCATCTCCTATTTACATTTCTATACAAAATACATCGCAGTTATTACACAAAGACACACAAATTACCTCAGTTGTCAGCAGTTATAAATGCAGGGAATAGTTTTCAATCTTTACAAAGAGTCTTGATAAATAATATAACAAATGGGACAACAAAATCAACATGAGCACAGAGTGGAGAAGAGTCTTTCTATGTGAGTGGCAGAACCTTTTACAAACTACAAACTGATGATTGCTTTTATAGCAGAATATGAAGAACGCACTTAAGAACAAGCCATAATTATTAGAAATCATGGACATAGTGAACTAAGGTATGTAGGTAAATCCAAACACAATTCTTGTTAATGATAGTACTTAACACCTGCTTAAGAAGGTGTAGATGTTTTCCACACAATCTGATGGTCTAGATTTCTTGACGAATGACGATGATTTACAAAATAGACTGGTATCACTGCATTGCTCAAACCCTTAACTGTTAACTTTGGAGAAACATTTTATGCGTGAACAAATGGCACGTTGCCACAGTCTTATGCGCAGCCTTCATCATTGTTGCTGCTGCTGCTGTGGTGCAAGACGCAGAATGCCGCTCGAGGTGAAGCAATCGCAGTTGAAACACCCATAGGTGAAGCAAACGCAGTTGAAACACCCATAGGTGAAGCAAACGCAGTTGAAACCCCCATAGGTGAAGCACCCGCAGGCGAAGCGCCACAATCAAGAGAAGAGCTTCACAACTCTACAAACGATGCTAATGGTAGAACTGACGACTGACCAGCGAAGAGAAAACCTGCCATTTCTCAGCAACTACCGGCGCTTCTGCACAAGTGTTTATTGTGTTACTACCAAACTAATGAGATGCGCAGCACCAAATGATTTACATATAAGCAAGAAATGGTCTTCATAACAACAATTATGGTGAAATTTACGTTAGGTAATACCGATGTTAGAATCAGGTGAAGAAACAGAAGATTTTCAAAAGATCAGACTTGGTTATTTTTGCACCCACATGAAAGAAAATCTCACGTTTGATTGTCTGAATACGATATTTGAACATTGGAAACTAGGACTAGTCAAGTATAAAACAATGCCATTAACACACAATTTACCTAAACTGCCGTAAAATCGAGCAGAAAATGCAACCATTTTTATTTGTGCAGCGCGGCAGACAATAAAAAAGTGATATATATACATATATAGTACATGGATATAGATTTATAATTAATATTTACCTTGCGTGTGAAATTGAAGCAGCCTCTCTTCTCGGGCGGAGGAGGCAAGTCCATCCTCAGGTCATTTGTTGGTGTGTTGCCGGGGCCAAAGACGTTCAGTTCCTCATAACATTTCGTCTCGATCATCTGAACAAAAGTTTCCAGATAAAATGTCAAGTCATTATATACTTTACAGTGCAATTTACTATGCCATTAGTATGAGGGCATGATAAACACTTTTTGACGCGTAATTATATAAATTAAAAACATTAATTTTAAATAAAAAAAAACTTGTTTTTAAATAAAAACATTGTTCTTAGATAAAAAACATTGTTCTTAGATAAAATACATTGTTTTTTATTGACGCTGTATCATTAGAAGCACAGGTTAAGCCACCCACCCACACAGCGACCAGCAATAATTGATCACCGTCACATTTGGTTACGTTTGTACATAAGAAATGCAGCTATTCACTTGACAATATAATCATACGATTTATCCTTATTTTTTACAAGATGTGTTGCTCAAGTACCTATTTCAGTCTCTCAAAAAAAAAACACATTCAATGGAACAAAACTTTTGTCAGTCATTTCCTTCTCGTAAAACCGAGAAAACCAGCTATGGATTTCCACTTACAGCTACTGAAAACATACGATAATGTTAAATACATTTCAAGAAGATTTTTGCTTAGCACACGAAGATGTAGTGCAAATAATAGTACCTATTGACAACTAATATGTAGTATTACTGGTAAGCAGTGGTAGCTGGTGGTGAGCTAGGCGACTACGAACCTCCAGGTGGCATTTGATCGCAAGAACCACTGATCAAGTGTCATCATGGTATGCATGGATAAAAACCTGAAGCCAGCTAAGATATAAAGCAAGTTCTCTACAACAAATTTTACAAGTTTGTTGAACTGACGATAAAGCTGGACTCCGAAACTTTTTCTTCTATAATTATATGGCGAATTTGCTGACAACTTTCTTTGTTTTTAAATTTCTGATAAATCTGTAGGTTATGCAATCAAGTGATCATAGATTCAAAGGCAGAGCAATGGTAGGTAGGCATGAGCAATGGTAGCTAGAGCTACCATTGCTATTACCTCTCGCTGCCAGGGTATAGACACGGATCCGGTGTTGAAGCGCTGGTAGAACTGGTCGTCATTGGTGTCTAGGTTGACGCCTTTCACAGTACTGAACTGCTCTATGTCAAGCACGTCCTTGGCGTACACTGCATGTGGCTGCAAAACATTTACAGGGTCAATGCATAGCACACCTAAAGTATACGATGATAAGGGTCCATTGACCCTAGTGAACTGTTCTCCGATAAAATAAGTCAATTAATAAAACAAAAATATATTCTTAATCGAATGGAACGTAGCATATGAAATATATTGAAACGTTTGTGCAGCACCTGAAAGGTACAGCAATTTAAGAGGATTGAGATGCTTACGTTCAAAAGGTTAAGGATTCGTTCATGGACATATTTTGGTCATGCTCAGAAAATAGAATAACGATGGGTTAAATAACTCAAAAAAAATTATTCAAAAACAATAAGATAAATATAGCAACACTACCGAAGCTCTTAAACTATTAAACAAACTTCTTAGAAAGACAAATTTGTATCGTATAGTAATGAAGCAGCGGCAAGAGAATGATATATAATCCTTTTCTTATGAAACTTTTGTCAGTAACACCAACAGCATGATTCGGTGACGACGAAACTCACTCCATGTATGAAGAACATTTCCCTACATATTTTTATAGACCAATTTTCGAAGTAAAAATATTCAATTGAATATGCCACCATTCTTGTGCAACTGTAAAGAAACCATTAAAAATGTACAGAAACTAACGTCAGGCATAAAGGGCGGCGTGCACATGCCAGCCTCGAGACGCTTCCATTTGATGGATGAAAAGAAGCTGTGCTGCTTGACCACCTCTGCGCCATGACGCCCCGCGGAGCACCCAAGACGATCCTGTGGCCGCTTCGCCAGCAGCTGGTGAGAAAAATAAGGCATTACGCATGAAATTAAATTATCTTATTAACAAGACGAAATGTGAAGGAACAGTGTAGCCCACACAGTTAATAAAAACGATTCACTTATAAATAATGACTGAATGTTAACTAATTGCTGATGTTGAATATGTACGTAATCGATTTGAATATATCACTGACATCAAAGGAGGATCGGGATAGGTTTAACACTAATATAAAATCAATGATTTGAAATAAACAGCGTTTTAGTGTACAAACATATAATAGACAGACAGCTGGTATTGAATTCTAATTACAGTTTCTGCTACGGAATTGAGGGAAAAAAACTATCAGAATAAGGAAGACATAATTACCTGTTGGCATATGGACTTTGCATCGTCTGAGAACTTGTCCGAGTAAGTCTCTGCTTGCTCTTTAACCCGGCGGTCAACTTCCTCTCTCTTCACCTGTAGAGAGAAACAGAGACCTGTATCAACAGAGAGCTGTAGTAAATGAGACCTGTACTAACAGCTGTATTAAAAGAGGCATGTATTAACAGAGACCTGTATTAACAGAGACCTGTATTAACAAAAACCTGTATTAACAAAGACCTGTATTAACAGAGACCTGTATTAACAGAGACTTATATTAAGAGAGACCTATATTAACAGAGACCTGCATTATGAGTTATCAAATATCTGAACTAAACTTGCACCCGCTAAATGGGAGCATACATTTTCAACAGGTCAGAGATTTGTGCTTTTAGACATGACGCGCATCAACACTTTAATTTTAGACTGAATTGTCAATAGCTAAACAAATTAAAAATTAAAAATGAGTCGATAAAACAAGGGCTACTAAATAATGAATATTTGCTTTTTAACAATTTCAAGTTCACAGAAATCTTTTAGAAATGCTCCAGGCACGCATCAATTGCTCAAAAGTATTTCTGTCAACTTGAGAGAATTTTTCAACCTGTTTGATGCAATGACTTGGATCATCTTTCATGGGATCTTCATTTATTAGACTAAAGATGCCAGCAAAAGATGCTAAAAAAGTATACTAAAAGATACTAAAATACTTACAAAGATACTAAAAGATACTTAATAAAGATAATACAAGATATTTACTAAAGATACTAAAAGATGCCAGCAATAGCAAATCGTCAGGTAAACAAATGGCAAAGATGAAACGCTTATGATATAAAAATACTGATACAGAATATTAGAATAAACATTGATACACTGCACGTCCACGTCAAATTGGCACCTTCTCCTTGCGAGCCCTGAAAGGCGCTTGTCCTTCAATCATCTCGTAGACGAGACACCCGAAGCTGAACCAGTCAGGAGAGAAGGTATACTTCTCGTTGTCTATAACTTCAGGAGCCATGTAGCCAACGGTGCCCACGCGACCTCGGACCAAATCTCCTTCTGGAATTTCCACAGCAAGACCAAGGTCTGAAATGCGGACGTGGCCGTGGTCGTCAAGCAAGATGTTCTCCGGCTTGCAATCTCTGTACACGATGCCCAGGTTGTGCAGGCACTCCAGACCACACGCCACCTGGTGGATCATCGGTAAATTCACTAGCCACTCAAGCCCCATAAGAATGCGATAGAAATGAGCCGTCTGAGGAAGTTTTCAAACCATGGACGAAGAAAAATGCTTTACGTTACCACTTATGGCACACAGCTCAATAATCTGGAAGTTATATTTGCCGAGACTACCTAGCTTTTGCATTATAAAATTTAGTAAAAGAAGACAATTCAAAGCAGTCATGAAAACACAAATAATATGTTGGTTGAATTGATAATTCGCGATCAGGAAGTAACACTGAATTTTATTGAGCCAAGCGATTATAAGACGCCATAAGTGATGAAATAAACTCGTAAAAAAATTCTAATTTTTATTTTTGTTGAAAGTGTGATCAGTTTGAGTTAATGCAAAGAGTTTCAAAGAGACATTTTTCGAAATTAAATATTCAAGACATCTCAATTAAATAATTTTTTGTCTTGAAAAGGCCCTACTCAAAACTTCAGAGATTCAGCACCAAAATTAAAAAATAGGGACTTTTAAAAATATAAAACCAATTGATATACCTAGTCACAATTATAATTCTAATCATTTTTCTGAATTCATTTAAATTGGCCTGAAATTCAATTAATTTAGCATGAAATTTAATTAATTTAGCCTGAAATTAAATTAATTTAGCCTGAAATTCAATTAATTTTGCCTGAGATTTAATTAATTTAGCCTGAAATTTAATTAATTTAGCATGAAATTTAATTAATTTAGCCTAAAATTAAATTAATTTAGCCTGAAATTCAATTAATTTTGCCTGAGATTTAATTAGTTTAGCCTGAAATTCAATTAATTTAGCATGAAATTTAATGAATTTTGCCTGAAATTTACTTAATGTAGCCTGAAATTTAATTAATTTAGCCTAAAATTTAATTAATTTAGCCTGAAATTTAATTAATTTTGCCTACAATTTATTTAATTTTGCCTGATATTTCATTAATTTAGCCTGAAATTCAATTAATTTTGTCTAAAATTTATTTAATTTTGCCTGAAATTTCATTAGTTAGTTAGTTTAGTGGCCAAATGTTTACTAGCGCTTCAGCTATTTAGCTATCTCGCACCGAAAGTCAAGATGAACATCACCATAGAGGTGGAAGGTCTCAATTATTCATCACCCACAAGGGGCGGAAGGTCTCAGATGTCCAGCCCGCAGAATCCTACCTACATAATAACTTAACCCCACAACTGAGACCTGCAGTCAGACACCGCGAGCTCAGCGGTGGGGCGCTCAGGAACAATCCCCCTAGAAACGCGAAATCCCATAGGACTTCTGAAGAGAATAGACACACGTCAGAAGTCCCCCCTGAGGGGTGAAATTTCATTAATTTAGCCTAAAATTCATTTAATTTCGCCTGAATTTAATGGCACACCTCTGCGGAATAGAAGACAGCTCTCTCGAGATCAAAGCCTGCCTCCACGCCCATGTTGTAGATGTGGAACTTCAGGTCGCCGCCGTTCATGATGGTCAGCACCAGGCACAGCGAGTCCTTGGTCGCGTACGAGTACGCTAGGCTCACCTGTCATGACAAAAACCAGTTGCCATCTAATAAAAACAACAGGAAGATTGGCTACTTCAAGGTAAATATTTTGAAATTAGAAACATTTTGATTAGTTAAACATTTTGATTAGTTAATTAACAATTAAAATACGTCAGTATGTATACCTTTTTAAACCGCATACAATAAGCTGATAGCAAGCATAAAAGCAGACTTATGAGTAATATAATTACACAATATGAAGAAACTAAACTTGAAAAATATGTAATAGATCTGTTGAGATAAATCTATTTCTGCTGAACACTGAGCACTCACCACAAATCTTGAATTGACTTTCTGAAGTATTTGTTTCTCAATGAGCACCATGTTCTCGCCTTTCCTCTTCTTTATACGCTTCTTCTCGAGCTTCTTACATGCGTACATTTTGCCCGTGGCTCGAACCTGACACGCACAGACCTCGCCGAAGCCTCCCTTGCCAAGCACACGGTACTGGCGGAACGTCTTGTACGTCACGCGTTGACTGTACAATAGAGAAACTCAATTAAACATTATTACTAA